CGCCGTGTCGAACTGGTAGCCAGAAATTCTGAAGAAGGCATTCAACAAAAGTGAATATCCGCATCCATCCTTAATGGATGGAGGTCTACCGAGCCGCATTGGCTTACGACAGGGACGAAACGCTACTGACACCCGTTCTAATGAAGCAGGCAACACGATCAGCAGGCAAAACGTTATAAAAGTAATACAGGAAAATGCCAGACGGGTTGAAAAATTGTCTAGATAGTGCGCAATAAGGGCTCGAAAATCGTAGTAACCACGCTCGGAAACGGTATAACGGCTCTGTGGAGGCTGCGGTACATGCCCACAGCATTACTCGCATCAATCGCATAGGAACACGTTAGATAAAAATGCAATCATGTTGTCTTCCGAAGTGCCCTCTGAAATAACTGTATTCTGTCATTCTGTGGTAAGACTCCGCAACTACTGGAATCACTACTGTACACCTTTTTCGCTGACATAATGTCGTTCAGTCTATTTTTAATATTTCTTTTAGTTCGCGAACTACTGATATTCTTGTCTTCCTCGCTGTAGGTGTACTATTCTGTGCCAGTATTTCCGTTCTTCAACTTAAAAATTGTATTTCAAATCATCGTAAACGTTGCCTGTAATCTCAAATATCAACAATCATCTATAGTCCCAGGGTACGCAAGAGCAGCCGGGGACGCCCCTGCAAACACGAAGACACAAGGATTAGGTTATGTATTAGTCAACTTCTTGGAAGTAAGGGTGCTATCCACACTTGGTTAGCCATTATTATCGCGGAGGAAAAGGTGTCCAGAAAGGGCGCATTGGGAATTCAAATGCCCTGTTCTCTAAGGTACCTTTGGGTGAAAATGTAGTTGTGCGAGGCTCCTTTCCAACAGAGCACTAGAAGCCAGAGAAGAATGAGTAGTCGACTTCATGAGGCCATCACCTTGCTTGGTAATGCTTACCGGCCAAGAAATATCGTTTTCATTTTTCACCTAGGCCTTAGGAGAGGAGGAGCACCAAGGTCGGTGGGTCNCCCCCCCCCCCCCCCCCTCCCCCTCCCAGCTTTTGCACGAGGTAGTAATCTCACCGAAACCGATGCTTCTCCTTTCGGCAAGGAGCAGTCTCTAAGCATCAGTAAAATCAACAACCCATTCTGCTTCGCACCTTAGCGCTCGGATGAGAGAGCCCCTTTCCCAACAACTACATTTTTAACTACCTTTACGTTTGGGGTGATGCGAGATTTAAACTATTCCCAACCCCTTAGGCAACTTTCATAGTCCCATTTCTATATTCATCTTACCCTCATTACTCAACGGCTTTTTGAACCGTTGTTACATACAAATAAAAACCCAGTGGGAGGAATCAGTTCGTGCAGGGGAGACCTGGCTCGAGCTTCCGTCACTGGCAAGCTCTTCTTTCAGTGCGTGGTATACATGACAAGATTGGATACATGCACTCAAATAAAGTTATGCCGTGAAATGAAATATGGTGTTCGTGAAGTTCTCGATGTTACAATTTATTTTACCGTGAATTTGCTTACTGTAAGAAAAGCTTGCACTGAATTCTTGCTATTGTCGATGACTAGGTTATCCGTAGTTACGCAGAACTGTACCGTCGATCGAAGGGGTCTTAGAAGGGAAATGTCAGGGCTGCACTTTCTGTCAACCACAGTGTCATTAGATTCACCTTGCCACGGAAATGGCGTCAACGTCGAGAGTGCGAATTATACCCATAGCGAGTTGTGGGAAGTGAACACAACGCAACGCCACGAACGATGTTAGTTATCCTTTCCTACTTTAGAGTGATTTGCTTTCCTCTTTCCGCAGTGCTCTGGTTACGCTGGCCGGTGAAAATGTAGTTGGAGGAGCCCTTTTGTGCTCTGCGTCACCGGCGGCAGAGCGCATAGAGATCACACAGATAGAATCCTCTCCTTCTGAATGTTCGGGGAGGAGGGTAGAAAAGAAGATTATCTCGTGCAAAAAGCTAGGACGAGGAAAGAATTGAACATCCAACTGGCTCACCCACCCCGGAGCTCCTTCCCTAACTTTTAGAAGGGGAGGAGGTCCAGGATGGGTGAGATGATTAGATGGGGTAAGAAATGAAGAGAGCAGAGCACAAAAGTGCCTGGCACCCCCCAGCTACTTTTTCACCATCGCTTTAGATCTTTTAAAATAATTATGTGATTCGAGACGAACTACAGATACCTCTGGAAAGATTGGAGGTCCAGGTAGTATTCCGCATGAGAAGCTTTTCTGATTTAGAAGTCTTAGAATTCTGAATTAATTTTACCAAGCCTGGTAACTAGATAATACAGAATTAATGCCTAAGGGGATGCTTATTCTGAGGAAGTGCTCATGTATGACGAGTCAGCTACTTGAATAGTGCGATACCATTTGGCTGCAGTTTTCTAATAATGAGTCGCTACATACAATCGTTTTCTAGCGACAAATTCTCATTTTGTTCAAGAAAATCAAGTACGGCATGACAGTCTTGCAAAAATATACCGTGAAACAAAATGCACTGAACGCAGAATTTCACCATCGAAACATTTTCTTTCACGGCATATAAGTGCGATTACCGTAGGTCTGACGTGCCGTACTGAATTTTCTTCTTTTTTTTTNTTTTTTTTTCGTATAATCGCAAAGTCAACGACCATTCTCGTGCTTATTATTTCCCCTATGCATTTAAAATTTACGGAAGCAGAATGAATCTGATACTTGAACTCGGAAAACAGGATGAATATGCAGTCAGCTTCATTCAACGCGGAAAGGGCGATGCTTGGAATTTCGATATACACATATAAGCAGAGCAGAATTTGGCCTTCCTAACTCCGTCGACGAGCGAAGAGCAGGGACGTCGTTGCTCTCGCCAAAACATCCTAGATCAATTGGGTTGGACGCGTTTGCGATACTTTGATCACCGTTATATCAGGGCGGATACTGACTGGGTTCTCCAGGAAGAGGAACGTACACCAGGAAGGCCGTAAGCGCGATGTTCAGACTTTTTGACGGAAGCAATGCACGAAAAGAATGATGTGCCTCGGTTCCCTCGAGCGAGGACGACCCGCTGGCTGCCATATCCACGATTTGGATTTGCTTTCATAGTCCACGATTCGACCGATCGCGCGACCGTTCGCGCGTTCGGTCGCCGGCCAAGTCGTGAACTATGAAAGCAGCCATTGCTCTGCTCTGGTTCGCTACAGGAACGGATGGAGACGTCACTAGCGTCCACTCGAAGAAATCGATCATCAACAGGACAACAGATGGTGCAGGAGATAAAGCATCAAAGTAAAAAAAATAAACCTTATTTTGGAGTTTTTCAGTGCAGTATGATCTTCACTGCAAATCTCAGCTCCGCACCGAAATTCTCTGGATTTCCTCCTGCCTTGTTATTTTTCAAACTTCAGACAGCGAGCAGTTGTTGTACATCCATTGCCACTTGTCCATCACGTCGCAAATTTTGTTCTGCTGAATTTTCTTGACGTTTGCTTGAGGCTACTTAGAAGAAACTCAATAAGGAATTGTCTGAATACTTGTGTAGCTTTAGTTTTCGACGACCCCCTCCTTACAGATGAGACTTGGTCTTGACCAAAACAGAGCTATTCATTCATGAGAAGAGGCGAAACACTTTATAGTTTTGTATTGCTCCCATTCAAATAATAACTACGTCCTCTCATGTATCAAGGCCTAGACCTAACAACACATGTTCATCGCCCAAAGGTCGGAAAGGATGCGTAACAGCATATTTACGGCATCTACCCTTAACCACACGGAACGGTATCTCATTGGGCTTCTACTACTGCACAGGAACAAGCCATTACTCAGTTTAACTGCATCTGAGTACCTTCTCGGTCCACTGCAGCCGTTTGGTCCTGGCATCACACTAGCCCAAATGATTCGCCGGTTGATAATTCTGAGGTTCAGATTTGAGCAGCAGGTCTGTCCCTAGCTAAAGGGAAGTTCTATAAGCTGAGTTGCCAAGTGGATGAATAAAAGCCGGCCAGTAGGCCAGGCAGCTAGTCGTCATGCTATTGATTAGGCGAAGCCTGACAGCCGTCGTCTTCCTCTCGCCAGTCGCTCTCTCCCGCCCCTTTCACCCATAACCACACATTTGCGTCGCCGTTGCGCTTTAACCGCCGATTGTCCGTGTCAGTTCACATCCTGTTCTCGGTGATTTCCACGTTTTTGGGCAGCGCCTAATGGCCTGTGGTCTCGACAGTTCATCTTCATCGAAAACGATTAAAAATAACTTCCAGTGTTTCTTACTTCTTGTTCGTGGCTCTTTGAAAATCTCTATGTTTAAAACTTTGATTGATCATGGCATTTGTTAAGAACATCCCCGTGTTGCAATTATCAGAATGGACCCTCATGTTACAAGTTGATAACTTCTGAGAGAAGGTTGGGATTGTCGAGTTCTCGGAGAACTCGTGTGGGGAGCTTCTCCAAAAACGCCATTGCTCCATTTCATTGCAATTACATTCTACCATAAAGTGTTTAAGAACTTTATCATTGTTTTTTTGAAGCTTCTTTTTGTTGGCCTGATTGGGCGCGACGGAAGCGAAATCATCTCTCACTATAATCCCCAATTTCTTTCTATTCTTCAAGCCAGAACCGCCTGAGTGAGGGTAACGAAAAATGAGATGAAATCAGAGATACGCCTGCACCGTCAACCTGGCAGTGTGTCGACCAGCTTTTCCCCCCGGTTTTTTGCCTCCGTTGACGGGGGCACATTCTCATCTTCGGGAGTCTCTTGCGCTCAGCATAGGATGCTCCTTGTCTCGCTCTTTCTGTTTACTTTCAGTCTGCGCTTCCCATTGAGTTTCACCACCACCACTGCTTATCTATCGTAAGTGCTCATCCTGCAACGACTATCATGACTGCTAGTCAATCGAAAAACGGTCTTAGTACAAACCATGAACAAGGGAAACCTCCCACTTTTCCAGAGTCTGCATCTCTCAGTGCTGCTCCTCATATCGCATTCTAACGACGAGTTACTCAACTGTTCGTTATTTTTCTCTCTTTTAGACAATGGGGAAGGCCAAGGATAAGGCAAATGATCTCAATGAGCTCAAACAGGAGGTTAAGATGGTGAGTTGGAAAGCTTGCTAGTGTTAATTGGCTGTGATAATTCTGTAGATCTGTCAAATTTTGCTTTCAGGATGAGCACACCATCCCTCTGGAAGAACTGGCAGCAAGGTTGGGCTCAAACATCGAGACTGTGAGTTGTCAAAGTTTGATTTTGCTGTTAACCGTTTCAACTTTGATCAAATTTGACCCCAGTTTGTTTCTTCCGTGTTGCGGAACGTGTCTCACGCACAAATGTCTTATCTATTCTTTGCCGTTAGGGAAAGACATTACTTATTTAATGTTTGGACCCATTGTCCCAACCATGTCCCCATGCTTATTGTCGTTTCGCGCCTTTTCGACCTTAGTCCCTTCATAGCATGCATGGAATGCTGCGTTCTCGCAATTTTCAAGGTTTTTATTCGTGTATGTCTTCTTAGAAGAATCAATGCCGGTTATTTAGCATCCAAATGAATAGATAGGTTAGAGCGAAATACGCGCAGTGTAATCTCACGCGACAGAAAGGGTTACTTCGATCGGAACTTCGACCGGTTGTTGATTTTTATCAATTCAAGACGATCTTCTCAGTGACGGGGAAACAGAAATAAAACGAAGATCGGTAATGAGCGGAAATAGATAAGTGAAAAAGAAACGACCGCATAGTTCTACTGCCCAATGCATGCTTTTCGTCTTGTTTCATAGAGGCCTTGCTCCCTCTTCTATTGAATTATGCAGGAAAGTGTGTGGGAACAATTCTTTAGCGTAATGAATTGGTCGAAGTAAATGGGTAATATTAGGTTAGGCCTTCAGGCACAATCGATTTGCATTCTTCCATAGAACGCCCTCTCCAAGCTTCATTTCAATAGCTGTGAAAAGACTTCTATCAANTACGCGTACATTTCGTCGGCTTCGTTATTTTCTTCTAATCGGAATTTCAATTCCTCCTCAATTTCATAGGTGTATATAATCTGTTTTGTCATTGTCTTCTTTTTTAGGGTCTCACAAGAGCGAAAGCTGCAGAAGTATTAGCACGCGATGGCCCGAACGCTTTGTCGCCTCCCAAAACCACTCCGGAATGGATTAAATTTTGTAAGAACCTTTTCGGAGGTTTCGCTCTTCTTCTCTGGGTACGTTGGATTTGTAATTGCGATATCTTTCCTAACTCGAAACACAACTGTTTATTGAAATACTTCTGCTTTTTAGGTTGGCGCCTTCCTGTGCTACATTGCTTACTCCGTCGACTACTTCACCATGGAATACCCATCTAAAGACAACGTGCGTTTTCCACCTATCCCAGAAAAGCTAACTAGATGGAACTCAGTTTTTTGCAGCTATATCTCGGTATTGTACTGATGACTGTCGTCGTGATCACCGGTTGCTTCCAGTACTACCAGGAAAGCAAGTCAAGCAAAATCATGGATTCCTTCAAGAACATGGTCCCCACTGTAAGGCATACTACTAAATATCATGAGTATTTATCAGTCCTGGAAAATTTGTTGACAAATTCCTTGAGTTTTAGTTTGCTTTGGTTCATCGCGATGGGCAGAAGCAACAAATTCGAACGGAAGAACTGGTCGTAGGTGACATTGTCGAAGTGAAAGGTGGCGATCGTGTGCCAGCCGATATCCGAGTCATTTCCGCCTTTGGTTTCAAGGTACGTTCTTCATGCTAGGTGCGAGTTGATAAAAAGGCAACTTGGTTACAGGTCAGAAATTCTAAAGGAAGGTCTATCTTAACATTTACTTTAAAAAATCACATTCCAACGCAATTACTACATAGAATAGAAAGATATGAGTCGCAATCCTCGGTCAAAACTAACGGCTAAAGTTCATTCCCTCACGGTAATGGTGATTCTTCATTTCGAGATAGCATACTGACTTAGCGAAGGCTAGAATTCCAGTACAATTTTTTCCTTCAGCCTTTCGAAAATTAGCGGGGTTTTTTAGAGTGCCCTTTGCGATGAAAGCTGAGGGTTCTCGTTGGTGTTCGTCCATTCATGCAACGGCATCAAGATTCACCTGAAATATGGCCCTTTCTATTGTCAAGTGCTTTAGGTAGACAACTCGTCACTTACTGGTGAGTCCGAACCACAGACCCGTACACCCGAGTGCACTAATGAGAATCCACTGGAAACTCGTAATGTTGCTTTCTTCTCCACCAACGCAGTCGAAGGAACAGCAAAAGGAATTGTCATCTACACGGGAGATAACACAGTATGTGGTTTGCATTCGAATTGTTATGGAATTCTGGAGAGAGTATTCGTTAAAATTTGAGAACCACTCTTTTTGAGGTCATGGGTCGCATTGCTCATCTTGCCTCTGGCTTGGACACAGGAATGACTCCTATTGCACGCGAAATCGAGCATTTCATTCACCTGATCACAGGGGTCGCTGTATTCCTTGGAGTTTCGTTCTTTATCATCGCTTTCATCTTGGGATACCATTGGCTTACTGCTGTGGTCTTCCTTATTGGTTGGTTTATTCTCTTTGAACATAGACATGTGATGCCTCCTCAACATCTATCTCTCAGGTATTATTGTCGCTAACGTACCCGAGGGACTCATCGCTACTGTGACGGTGTGCCTTACTTTGACCGCGAAGAGAATGGCCAGCAAGAACTGCCTGGTAAAGAATCTGGAGGCTGTCGAAACTCTTGGTTCAACATCCACCATCTGTTCGGATAAGACCGGAACGTTGACTCAAAATAGAATGACTGTAGCCCACATGTGGTGAGCATTTTTCAACTTGTGAATGTAAGGATATGGTGAAGGTACTGTAGTATCATCTATTTTGGTAATGTTTCAGGTACGATAAGACAATTGAGGAATGCGACACCACCGAAAACCAGTCTAGCTTGGCAGCTACCAAAGGTGGACCTACATTGGATGCTCTCGTTCGTATCGCTTGCCTGTGTAACAGGTAATTGGCTGAATATACTTATTAGAATAATTAACAACACCTTGACCGCAAAGACAGTCAAAGGACAAAGCGCGGCACTTTGTGATCGTGTTCTTTGCTTCACTTATGTTGTTACTACTGTATCCTATTTTTTTAGAGCTGAGTTCAAACCTGGACAGCAGGATATTCCAGTGCTTCGCCGCGATTGCACCGGTGATGCATCTGAGATTGCACTGCTCAAGTTTACGGAACTTACTATTGGAAATGTGATCGCTGCCCGCGAGAAAGCACCGAAAGTCGCTGAGATTCCTTTCAATTCTACTAACAAATACCAGGTACTCACTCTTCTTATCTTCAGATACGAAGATTGCGGTTTTCAAAACCAATTCTTGCTTAGGTTTCTATCCACGACATACCTAACAGCGATTCTTATATGCTGAGAATGAGTGCTATTTAGTCTGTTCTACAATTCTTCTCAATGGTAAGGAGGAACCACTTGACGACAAACTTCGTGCTGAATTTAACTCGGCCTATCTTGAGCTCGGAGGAATGGGAGAACGTGTTCTTGGGTGCGTATAATTTTTGTTAGACGGCTTTTTCTACTTTCGCTTTAATCATGCTCTCATATCTACTTTCTGAGATGAATATATGTCGAGCATTGCAGGTTCTGCGATTATTTACTTCCGGCTGACAAGTTTCCAAGAGGTTTCAAATTCGACACTGAGGAGGTCAACTTCCCCCTCAAAGGTCTACGATTTGTCGGTCTCATGTCTATGATTGATCCCCCACGTGCAGCCGTACCCGATGCTGTCGCCAAGTGTAGGTCGGCTGGTATCAAGGTTGTCATGGTCACTGGTGACCACCCAATTACTGCCAAGGTGAGACATTTTTTCAGGAATCCTTTATGTTGAAGAAGTCATGGCTGATCACTATCGTTACTGTTGTTCAGGCTATTGCCAAGTCGGTTGGTATCATCAGTGAAGGGACAGAGACGGTTGAGGATATTGCTATCCGACGTGGAATTCCTGTCGAAGACGTCGACCCTCGTGAAGCAAAGGCGGCTGTTGTTCATGGTTCCGATTTGAGAGAAATGAGTGAAGATCAGTTAGCTGAAGTCCGTGCGCCCCTGTTTTGTTTATAATCGCCGTTACAATTATAATTTTGAAGTTCCATGTTTCAGGTCATCCGTAATCACTCGGAAATCGTATTTGCCCGTACTTCACCTCAGCAGAAGCTCATGATTGTTGAAGGTTTCCAAAAACAGGGACAAATTGTGGCCGTCACTGGTGATGGAGTTAACGATTCACCTGCATTGAAGAAGGCCGACATTGGTGAGTTTTCCTCGGAAAATTGACGATTCATGAATAAATTGCATGATTTTGGTTCAGCGAAGCCTATATTGAAAGTAACTTTCCGTTGAGGGCATTTTGATTGAAGATAGCTTGTGTAATTCCAGGTGTTGCTATGGGTATCGCTGGATCTGATGTCTCCAAGCAAGCTGCGGATATGATTTTGCTTGATGATAACTTTGCCTCAATTGTCGTAGGAGTGGAGGAAGGTCGTCTTATCTTTGATAACCTGAAGAAATCTATTGCGTATACACTGACGTCCAATATTCCGGAGATTTCACCTTTCCTTACTTACATTCTGTTTGGTATTCCACTTCCCCTCGGAACGGTCACTATCCTTTGCATTGATCTCGGAACTGACATGGTAAGAATATGAGTACGCGTGTGTTCGATGGCAGCTAATTCATGCTTTATCTAGGTGCCTGCCATATCCTTGGCATATGAAGAAGCAGAGTCCGACATTATGAAACGACAGCCCCGTGATCCCATCCGTGACAAACTTGTCAACGAGCGTCTTATTTCCCTAGCTTACGGTCAGATTGGTATGATTCAGGTGCGTTTTTAGTCATTATAGTCTGTTTCTTTTTTCACGTTTTTTTTTNTTTTTTTTTTGAATGTCATCGGGTAGTTCATTTAAAAAGATCAAAATGATTTGAGGCATCTGCTGGGTTCTTCACCTACTTCTGGATTATGGCCGACAATGGGTTCTGGCCAAAAGATCTCTACCAACTTCGTGCTCAGTGGGATTCTCGCGCATACAACAATGTCCTTGACTCCTACGGCCAAGAATGGGTCAGTGCAGCTACTTCTTTTCTCGAAAATATCTTTTCCATAATAGTTGCCTTTTTTTTAAGACTTATGCCAACCGCAAGATTCTTGAGTACACCTGTCAAACAGCTTATTTCGTCTCCATTGTCGTCGTACAATGGGCCGATCTCATCATCTCTAAAACACGCCGCAACTCCATCGTCCAACAGGTGTGTGACTTGAAAAATAGCTTTATTACAAGAACTTTTATTTGTCGGCCTGCTAGATACAAGTCCTCTATTTAGGGAATGACTAACTGGACCTTGAACTTCGGTCTTGTTTTCGAAACCGCTCTGGCATGGTTCATGTGTTATTGCCCCGGTTTGGACAATGGTCTCCGTATGTACGGGTTGAGGTACGCTTTCAACGTTTGTATTTCTTACTTCATTGCTTGTTGAGAACTATGTGATTTGCAGGTTCTCGTGGTGGTTCTGCGCTTTACCCTTCTCCGTACTTATTTTCATCTACGATGAGGCTCGTCGTTACTGCATCAGAAGATGGCCAGGAGGATGGGTGGAGCGTGAGACATACTATTAAAGCGTCATCCTTTGAGTTGTTGAGGAAAAATTGCTAATGATCATTTTGTACGTTCAGCACTGTATCTCGTAATGTCTTGGCTAAGCTTGCTGATTAAATATTATTCACAATAATAGCAAATTTATAGAAATGCCTCTGGTTGCTTCTCTATTACGTCCTTAGATTCGATTTTCGCTGTGAATTCTAGATTATGTAGATTTAATCGAGTATTTATTGAGAGTTTGCCAATGTTGTTAACGAAATTCGTAGAATAGACGAGCAATTGAAGCAATGTCTACGTTCTCACATTTGTCCTCGCTGTACTTTCAATCTGCATCATCATCGGAGCATCTAACAAGTGAGTATGTAACTTTGCTAATAAAATTTTTATTGGCACGAAAATGTTCGGGGAACGTGATTATAAAGCGAAAACCCTCAGCCGATAATCATGGAAACGGTTTATCCTGTTTTGATGATCAGTCTGTTAAGGGAATAAAGATCTGTCTGTTTCAGCCGCTAATCAGGCTTTTTCTCCATTGCTTTGGAAAGTCCTTACGCCATTTTAAGCTTTTACAAGAATGTAGGTACAAATGTAACGTCATAACAACTAGACATCGCAAAGCTGGTGTGCCAACCTCTTGTGAGTTGTCGTTTTTCTCCGTATTTTTTCTTGCATTCCAGTGAGGGATTCTGCCATCACATGGACCGGACATTAGTATTGTGGTTTGAACAGTGGAGAACATTTTCCTGCAAGACGATCTGTCACCCTGCCGCCCACCTTTAATCGGGACCCTCTATCACGTCAGATGTGCGATCAGAACAAATTAGCGGTCATATGACCGGTCGAAAACGGTGTATCTGGTGAGCGGTCAACCCTTCATTAACAACGGATTGCACATCGTCATGCCCTTGTGAGCCAAAACAAGGAAAATAAGCAAGTAGTATGGCGGTGCAGATAGGGCCCTCGGTTTGTATTCTTTCATTACTTTTGAAATCTTGCAAGAGCTTCGAACTTTGAACTATTAGCGAACGGTTGGACGTTTCTACAGACTACAGGGAATTTCCAAACAAGAGGAGAGAAGGTTGCGTTGCTCTCGCATTGAATGCGGGCAAGTTACCGTAACCGGTCCAAAACTGGTCTCAGCGCTACAATAACCAATGGCCATTCTCACAGCTCAAACACGCCCCAATCTCGACTATTCTTAACTCAAGAGAGTGAATTCCTACATCTTATCCTTATCCTTCGCGCGTCTCCGGTGGATGTTAGCTTGATAGTAAACAGATAAGGAATAGCGAAGGACATGAATATGCTTTTACAAATATCGAAGCAACTAATATGTATTGGAAAACGTTTGACGTTCCTCTCCAGAGGTGGCAAAGGAGATAAGGAATAGCGAAGGACATGAATATGCTTTTACAAATATCGAAGCAACTAATATGTATTGGAAAACGTTTGACGTTCCTCTCCAGAGGTGGCAAAGGATTTCGTCTATACAAGCACTATGAGGACTAGGTAGCATGGAAATGGTGCTGGAGACGGTAGTCCATGATCGGCTCTCCATCGGAGACTAGGCATGATTATAGTTCATCTACAGTGAGTTATATTTGACCCAGCCACTCCGAATTCGGAAACCATACAAATTTAACGGCACCCGTCCCAGCAAAATCGCCTTATTCGGAGCCTTATCAACAACGGAGCGAGCCGTTGTAGGCTAACGCAGTAGCGTCATGCGTGCCAGTTCGATCAGTTGCTCATAACACACAGAAAGGGGGAGATTCTATGAAGTGGAATTCCGGTGCAAATCAGTGGCTGAAGGTAGCCTATAAGTAGAATTTTATTGTGAAGCGGTTAGATTCGGTGAAACAGTACGTCAAAATCGTAATCGATGTTAGGCCATTTACACCCGTAGAAGAAAAAAATGTTAGCGAAATCAGCGAAAGTCATAAATTGTAGATAGTTTTGTCGTTGAAACGTGAAATGTAGCTGCTGAACAATCTCCTCCGTCACTTATCTACTTTTTGAGTGGAGCTCGATTTCTACATGGTTGTTGATGAACTACATTAAGCGTTTACTAATCCATAAAGCGCTTTTAGTACCTTATCCATGATGCATTGTCGAAGTACCAGGTCAGAGGTCAGATACTCGGTGAGTGAAGTTGATATTTCTATTGTTGAGTGGAGGCACAGTTCGTAAAAATTTTGAGGTACCCATTTTCAGTCGGCAAGCGGAAATATAGGTCGAGAATAGTTTGTCGGTAGTGAAGAAATGAGAAAATTCGCCTATCACGAGAAAAAACAAGGCTTCTTTAAAGTACCCTAAATTTTCATAGATAAGAGCGGTTGAAACTACCGGTGAAAAATGAATTGGAATGAAATTGAAATTGAATGCAGTCACCCTCTAACTTGATGGATGGATAAATTAAACTTCGAAGAAGAAGTTAAGAAGAAGCCNGGCTTCTTCTTAACTTCTTCTTCGAAGTTTAATTTATCCATCCATCAAGTTAGAGGGTGACTGCATTCAATTTCAATTTCATTCCAATTCATTTTTTACCGGTAGTTTCAACCGCTCTTATCTATGGAATTTTAGGGTAGAAAAAATAGAGGTCGGACGAGATTACGATAAGAGAAGTAACATGGAAGGGGTATTCGGGCGAGATTTCGGTCGTTGCAGTTGCGCAAGAGCTGACTACTTCAAGCAAGAATTGTGCAGAACTGCCGTTCATCGTCGCTAGGTTTTACAAGTTGTTTGAACTTCGTACATGAGTTCTTTATGATCGGTGCAGCTTCTACAATGCCGGTAAAATTCGTTCGAAGATATGCACGGTGCAATCTAACTCCCTAATTAGGCCGTTTGCAGACCTAATAGCGCCAGATATGGTATTCGATGGAAGTTCGAATTCATCCTAGGGGAGAAATCTCAGGAACCATTTTTATTGTGAACTGTGCCTTTAGGCACGTTCGTGATGACCTTTATGGACGTCAATCAGGTAAGGAGCAACAAGCGCATTCATCTTGAAGACTCAAACGAATTGCTCGACCAACAATTATTTATACTGAATATGCGATCCAATGAAAGTGCTACCTTAATGAACATAACTTCGAGTTACAAGGTGCGTGATGTGGACGGAGAAGATGAAGGTTTTTGCATGAAAGACCATAAAAGCATTTTGATGTTTCCAAAAAAAAAAATAAAATAAGCGCCAACGATATGTGTCCCAGGGTCACAATGAATTAATCGAGATTGTGAAAGGGTACAACAGAGGGCAACACGACTATAATTCCTAACATGAAAGTTTCTTTGCTTGAGCTATTGCGACGGAAGTTTAAGTTGCCACCTAATCGAAATCCACCGAAAATATCATGCATTGTAGGCTTGCGCCAGCACTTTTTGAAGAAAATTTCGGTGGAGTAAGTTTTAGGCAATCGCATAGAATATAATTGCAGCAGTAATTCAGTGAAGGATATTTTTGTAAACATTATGTTTGTGCTGTTCGCTCGCTCAACAGTTTTATTCAAAAGCTCGTTCAGTATGCAACTTGCTCAAATTCTCTTGAGGGAGCACGGTTGGCCCATGCAGGTTTCTGAAAGTACACCACTTATTTGACCGCAAAAATGGAAAAAAACTACACTAAGAAGGGCATAGAAGGGCATGTACGGTCTCCAAAATATCACGGATGAATCGCTCGGAAACTGCTAAATAGAAGTCGCGTTCTTCTGATGGTGGAACTTTGGCCATACTCCTCTGTTTTGGTGAGGCTAAGGACACAACTCAAAGTCAGATTATCTCAACAAAATTCCTGCCAAAAGTCCGCCAAAAGGAGGAGGAACAAGCTCTGAAGACGCAAAAGTTGGTAGTAAGTGCTTGAACGAAGGCTTCTTTGTCGCTGGTGTTACCCGTCAGAGGCAAAGAGCGATATAGAAAACCTGCTTTTTCACCCCTGAAGGATAGGAATGATTAGCGGCATTAAAACCCCCACTACACAGTCTTTAGACAGCAGTTTGCCATGACATCAAAGTGTATCTCTCCGCAACTTTTTAGTTTTCCACCCAGAGAACAAAAATCGCGGAATGTGCCCCTGAGGAAAGATCAGGTACACAAGTAAACATGACACAAACATGGACTCAACTTACCATAGTGCCAATATCCAGGCTTTTTTGTGGGTCCATTCAAGTATTTTTTGAGTAGATCATTCATTCTTTTGAATCTAGCGTTTTCCCTAAAACTCCACAGAATTTTGGTCAAGGAGAGTCGGGATGTGAGAAAACGGTAGTTACTTACTGTTTGCTTCCTTCGCTCAGATCGTTTGGCTTTGAAGTAAATGCCGCCGGTGGTACAGGGTTACCATAAGCTGGAAAGTGTATTTCCTAAGAAGTATGATTATAGGCTCGTGTAACAGTGGTATTCAAAGCGTTAGAGAAGCGAGTTTACTTTATGAACAGCGCTCACCTTGAATAAAAACATTTGCTACAAGGAGAACAACTACTGTGAGGGCTAAGGACATTTCGAACGTGAGTGGTACTTTTGGGCCTCTCTTCCATTTATATATCAGTTGATGACGGTAATGATGACATTCTTCAGCTTCTGCTATGCAGCTGTAAATTTTTTTGGCGATTTGTGTCTATGCGATTTATTTGCGCATACAGAGGACACGACAGTGAACATATTTCATTTTCTGCATAGCAGATGCTGGAGAATGCCACAATCACCGTCATCAACTGGAATATAAATCGAGGACAAGCCCAAAAGTCCACACACGTTCGAAATGTCATTATCCGCCACAGTATTAGTACTCCTTGTAGCAAATGTCTTTATTCAAGGTGAGCGCTGCTCATGAAGTATAGCTCGCTTCTCTAACGCTTTGAATACCATTGTTACAAGTGCCTATGAGCATACTTTTGAGAAAGTGCATTTTCCAGCTCATGGGAACCCTGTACCACCAGTTGCGTTCACTCCAGAGGCAAACGATNTGAAGGGAAAAGACAAACAGTAAGCACCTATCGTTTTCTTACACCCCGACTCT